CCATGGGTTGTAAAACTCGAGTATTTAAGCCATGCTATATGGAACAATAAACAGTAAGTAATCTTGTAAATTTGGTTTCAAATTAACGTGTGAGGGTTTACTGAGAACTTCATTTCAAATTCTTCTTAATTTAGTTAACATTGGATTAAGGTGAACCCTGTTATAATCAGGATATATTCCAGACTGTCACAATTAGTGTTCACTCCCCTCCCCCGAACACATCATGTACCATATTGACTTTTGTGTGCTTTCATCATTGTTCATTACATGTTAGGAAAGTGTGCAATAACTTACGCCATCTCTGGCGTAAACGTAATATCCAGCCGTCAATCTAACGACGTGTGTGTTGGTTTGTAGGGATTTGGTTGGTTACAGGATTTCAACTAGGACGAAACAGCTGTCCAGTACTCCCAGGTTTTCCAATGGTTCTCTAACTAATGTCAGCTCATGATGAAATCCTGTAACGACGTGTGTACTGCTCAGCACTTCGCTGTGTCCTCCTTTATGGCTGTGAGCAAGACATGGCCATTCAAAGTGGAAGATATGAAAAGGTTGACTAGCTGTCTTTGATTAGATGTGGCTGCGTTCTACCTCCTGTTTGAGGTGGTAGAATAAGGTGATCAATAGTGAGATTGGGTATCGAATGGTAAGTGAGGGGCAAAAGTTACCAGTTGAGATGGTTAGGACATGTGTTGCGCATGCCCAGCCATCACCTTCCTCGACACCAGGCAATGTTAAGTGATGTAGGATTAGGTTGGGAAAGAGTCATCTGTCAATGAAATTCACAACAGTTAGTTTAAACCAGCCAACCAGCCACATCGGGAGGTGTAGACTTCCAGATTGGAGTCCTCGATATGGCAAAAAGCAACAACTGCTGGAGACAATTGTTGATATGGCTCAAAATTGTTCTCAGTGGCTTTGTAATTTATAATATCCAACAAAATTCTTTTGACTTTCTATAGTTTGGTTTGTAAGGGTTAGTTTTGTTTTTACGAGTTGATCACGGATTGATATCAGTTAGAGGGAACCATTAAAAACCGGAATTGGAGTACTGGACAGCTGTTTCATCCTGGTTTGGGAATCATCAGCGGTACGCACCCACTGCCAGGGTTCGAACCCAGGACCTTCCGGTTACAAGGCAAGCTAGCTCGTATACCATTCAGCCACTGGAACCCGACTCCTCAATGGCCAATCCATGAATTCTAACTTCTACCAATTCGTGATTTAGCGCGACCCCAACCAATGTCGTCGGTGGGACATCCACCCTCACACGTGTCATCTGGATGGACCTCACTGGTCACGACTTCTCCTTACTAGAACTGCAGGAAACTCCATCCTGTAGCAAGTCTCTAGCGAGCATCAGATTAATTTTCTATAGTTTGGTTTGTAAGGGTTAGTTATGTAACCGGAAGGTACTGGGTTAGAACCCTAGCAGTGGGTGCGTACTGCTGATGATTCCCAAACTAGGATGGAACAGCTCTTCAGTACTCCTTGGCTGGTTTTCAGGCCAAGTAGCTCCACCAGAATCATCTTTCAAGATCATCTACAAAGTGAAGCTAAATGGTACAAAGGGCGTCAGGTTTCTGATTTTGTGTATGGCGAAGGCTTTGGCAATTCATCAATACAACCCTGAACTCTGTATACAGAAAAAGTTTGTCCAGTCTCTTATTCTACCGTGGTCTTAACCTCTTCACTAATCGTTCCTTGTAAATAAAATACATTTTGATTTTTTCTTTTCATTCTAATTTCACTTTTAGTTAGCTTTTGCTTTAATAATTAATTCACTATTATCACTCTCATATGCTCCTTTTGTATATTTTCACACCCTCTTCACACTTGTTAAATTGACACTCAAATACCTTTATTCTCACTTAATAGCAATTTTAACCTTATGAAATTTCTATCTTTGTGCCGTTGAGTACCACGTAATTTTCAACTTTTAATTTTCACTTCTAAAGCCACTTTTGAGTAATTATATCAATTATGTCAACCCCTGTTACTCAATGATAGAACACTAGACACTTTTGGTATTTATAAATATGACTTTACAGCCTCTGAAGATGATTTCTTCGGTAAAGAAAATTTTCTTCGCTTAATTTATCTTTTATTTCCTTCATCACTCAATGGGTACTTTCGGTGATTTTCAATGGTTCTCTAACTGATATCAAGCCGTGATCAACTCGTAAAATTCCATTGTTTTTCCATATTACTATTCTTTCTCCCTCACTCACACTTCTGTTTATTATCATCTCTCTCTCTCTCCTTTGAATCTCTCTGTACTCTATTCTCTTGCTTTGTGCGCTACATGGGAGAGAGAGTGGTAAGTCGAACTGTTGCACATCTGTGCAAAGTCCTACGTTGAAACCAGTCAGTCAGTCAGTCAGTGAGTCGGCCAGTGTACAATAACACTTATAGTTCTTTGCACATTCTCGAATGACATTCTATCTAAGGTTAGAAAGGTAGATCAATTTTTTTTTGAGTATTAATCACCAAAATGATGATTGAGACCTCATCCTAGATTGTATCAATCAGTCATGTATATTTCTGCTCTTCCACTTCCTTTTTTCTTCTAATTGTTTTTTTTTTTTCATTTATATTCAAGGAACAACCTGCAGCGACCACCAGTTCTCAAAGTAACCTTTTACTACTTGACAAAGAAGATTCTGTATCATTTCTGAGTGCATTAAGAGTACCAGTAAGTTAATTATGTAATGCATCAATACATTTCTAAAAAAATAATCAGTACATGATAATTTATTTCATTTTTTTCCCTTTGGAATAATTTAACCGAAATGTTCAACCTCTGCTGTGACATGTTGTTAGCTCCCTATGACTGTGAACGGTTCTAAGATCTCTGAAGGTTAACGTGATGTGCTTTCTAATTATTATTATTATTGTTCCATTGGGTTCCTTGTAGAACACAGGGCTTCAACTGCACGTCTCCACTTGCTTCTGTCTTGTGCTGTACTTTTCACTTGCATCCATGTTAATCCGTACTGTTTCAGTTCCTCATCACACGATCTCCTCCATGTCACCCTTGGACGTCCCACTCACCGCTTCCCTTTCGGGTTCCACTCGAGCTATGGCCTGACGCGCGATGTCACCCAGTGGCCTCCTCAGCGAGTGTCCAATCCATCTCCACTTTCTCCTGCATATTTATTGCGCGATTGGTTCTTGTTTCGTTTGTTCCCATAGTCTCTTGTCGATGATTCTTTCCGGCCATCTGATCTTCAGTATAGAGTGAAGACAGTTGTTGATAAAGGTCTGCAACAGGCTGTTGGAAATATTCTTTGTGACCCGCCAAGTTTCTGATCCGTACGTATACAAGAGCTGACTTGATGTTTGCATTGAAAATCCGAATCACTTTGTTGTTGATGCTGAGTGACGAAGATTTCCAGATTGGTTTCAGGTTGCTGAATGTGTTTCTCGCCTTCCCGATTCTCGATTTGATATTCTCGTCCGTTCCTCCTGTAGTTGAGACAATGCTCCCTAGATAAGTGAAGGGAGGAAGTAACCTCTTTCAAATCCCTCCCGTTGATGGTGATTGGCGCTGGATGTTGCTGCTGCTGTTGTTGTTGTTGTTGGTTGGTTATTTTCATAACCTCCGTCTTGTCTATGTTCACCTGGATGGTGATTATTAGCTGTGGAAGCGAGGGGCTGGAAATTGAGACAAGAGAAAGACAAGGTTGACTGCCTGTTATCATTGATGATATTCTTAATTGTGGTGGACTGACTGGATTATGCGTCAGACTGTACATAGGGAGTGAGAAGACGGGAATACGCTGCATTGACCGATAAGAAGACTCTAGAAGATCTGGATTTCGTGCTTGGATTATTTATGTTTAATGTCACACAAACTCAAAGACTTACAGACAGGCGAAAACCAATAAACTAGCTGAATAGGTAGGTAGTCCAGCGAAGACAGGACTCCAGGTGAACATGGAGAAGACGGAGGGAATGAAGATAACGAACCAACCAACCAAATGCAACACCATCAACGGGAGAGATTTGACACAGGTTACTTCCTTCACTTATCTGGTTAGGAAGCACGGTTTCAACCACAGGCAGGCAGTCGGAACGGATGAAGATGTCAAAACCAGCCAGGCAGTTAGAATAGGAAGGGCAAGATACGCCTTCATCAACTTGGAACCAGTTTGAAAATCTTCTGCACTCACTCAGGCAGCATTAACAAAAAGATTCGGATTTTCGAAATACATGTCCAGTCATTCAGTCAGTCAGTTTTTCTATGCGGGTCAGAAACATGGCAGGCGCGTCACGAAAAGTATTGCCAACAAGCTACTGACTTTTACCATTAGCTGCCTTCACTGGCCCCATACTGAAGATCAAATGGCCGGTTGTGGGGCCAGAAAGAATTGGTAACAAGAAACTCTGGCTGGGAACAAACCAACAGGTGAGAGCCGATCTCTCAACAAATATGTAGGAGAAAATTGGGATGGATCGGTCATACATTGATGAGGCCCAATGTAGGTCATCGCTCGAGTGGAATCCCAATGGGATAGTGGCATGGAAGGAGATCGCGTGAGTTGAAGGAGATGAGCAATAGTAGGTCAGGACACCAAGAATCAGAAAAATGGATATGTGTTGTTGAAACCCTATGTTCCATTTGGAGTCCAAGGGAATAATAATAATAACTAGCCAAATAATATCATTGATATAAGAATAAAACTTGGGCACTGTGGTAGAATGTAATTCCATTATGGGTAAATTTTTATTTTGTTAGAGTCTCACAGTGTTATACAGTAGTATTTACTGATGACGTTTCGAGCACAATTTATTGCTCATAATCATATCAAGGTAATCACACGACTTCCTAAATTCATTTATATAGTTCCATTGTTTTTCACTTGATTGGATTGGTAGTATTATTCTCCATATCTCGGGTATGAGTGATGATTCATTCCTATTGCATGTGTTGGGTGTAGATTCGATGAACAAAGATTCCGTAATCAACCTCTCTCTCCACCTACCTAGATTACTTTTTAGAATTTTAACCCTCTCCCACCCTATTGTGTGGTTGTGTGTTAATGCATGCATTGCAATTGCTGAGTTTTTTTCTAAATTACTTATCTTCTCTGGGTCAACCATTCTTACCTTAGCTGTGATCCCTGAACTTTTTTCTAAATTACTCATCTTCTCGGAGTCAACCATTCTTACCTTAGCCACTAAATTCTTATGTTCTGACAATCTGACTACCTCCGCTCGATCTACTAGTTTGACCTATGTAGTTGACCTTACTCACAGTCATTGCAGGGTATTTTGTAAATTATATTATTTTGTCTAATTGGGTCAACCTACAGGGTCCTTTAACCTACAGAGCTTGTCCCTGAATGAGTTTGTAGGTTTGAATGTCACTCTAATTCCTGCTTGATTAAGAATCCTACGTAGGGTGTCAGATGTTCCCTCCTTATATTGTAAAACTGTAGATGCCTTATATTATCTCTTATTTATATTGTCATTACTAGTTTCACAATTATTTTTATTTTGCTTTTAGCCTTTTTCAATCTTCCTAATGAATTTTATAGGATAGTTATTTAACACCAACGCCTCTTCAGTCTGCTTTATTTCATCAATTAGGTCTTTTTTTGTGCTACTTAGTGCCATTGCTCGGTTTGTTAGACACTTAACTAAGCCACGTGCCTTCACAAACAGTTAACAAGTGAGATGAATTAAAGTCTAAATATCTATTAGAATGCGTTGGCTTTTTATAAACCCTAGTGTGTAGTTTGCCTTCTTCTATTCGTTTTATTTTACAATCTAACATGATAGCTAATTCTCCTTGTTCATTTTCCGATTCAAATGTGAATTTTATTACTTCTATGATTATAAAAACACTGGTCCTATTTCCCATCTGATTGTAATTGATTAATAACACTCATATTATTGCCACCAGCAAAATCAGAGGAGGATAATAATCTTAAAATTCTATTTCAATTCACATACATTAATTATAACATTCTAACAAGTTACTTATTTTGACTATAAAAACACTCGTCTTATTTCCCATCTGATTGTATTTGAAAAACTTCATGCAATTCTTCCCATTAATAAACTTGAACAAAGCAAGAACAACAATTGTACCAGGATAATATGAGCTCATCTTTTATTATTTCGAGGATTCTTCCCCATTGGTTACAACCTGAACGATGAAAAATATGAATTACATTACATTAAAGATTTGAACATAATTTTCCACGATCACAAAGAGTAATCGGTAGGAAGTGAAAGTAACATTAGTCCAGAATGATTTAACTAATTAAGAGATGCAAACAACTGACTATTTATAGAATAATTCAAATGAACTGTGATCAGTATTTGACAGTTTATAAATATTTATAGAATAATTAGGCAATTAGGCTTAGAAACAAAAACAAGCTGTTGTATATTTTTTTTGTTGTCATCAGGGCAGTGCAAAATTCACCACTATCTCTTTCTGCGTACATAGATTTGGTTTAAGTCGTCTGATTGATAACACTCATATTATTATTTCTGAATGTACATTATCCCATATTGACTTTTATTCAAATGTCTAATCATCAATTCCACTCATGTATATAAATGAAGCGCGAAATTTGTGTGAGTATTGCCTTGATATGATTACGAGCAGGCATAAATTGTGCTCGAAAGGTGGTCATCAGTTAATATTATTGTATAACACCACTGTGTATGACTTATCAAAATAAGGTCTTATCTATAAGACTGTATTTCACACTTACTTGATCATTTAATTACTACATAAAAATGGAAATGATCTACTACCACCCAATGCAGTTGATGAAACCTCACAGAGTCGAAATAATTGCCCATGTGTGTGGGTGTGTATATACCAATTGTCCTTTTCTCAATGATGTGTATAACCTTTACCAATGTTTATTACTCATTGTTTACTTGCTTGCTTACCTTCTCTACTTTTCAGGGTGTTATTGAATACTCATTGACCTTATTCTTTGCTAAATTAGTTTCATACACCTTTCTATTCTGGTTACCAATGTACATCCGTGATGCTGGTGGTTTTGATCCATCCGCATCAGCAGATTTATCAGCTGTTTTTGATCTCGGTGGAATAATCGGTGGTATTATCGCTGGTTATGCATCGGATACAACTGGTGCAAGTGCTATCACATGTGTTGTCCTGCTTACATTATCAATACCTACAGTAAGTGAAATATCTGTTATTATTATTAGTATTATTTTAACTATTCTCTTCACTTGCAATTATTCCCCGTGAACGAGGAATTCCTGGTAAGTGCAAGTCATACGCTTGCTCTGATTACGTCCCTGCCCTTTGTACACACCGCCCATCACTACCACCGATCGAACGATTTAGTAAAGCCGTTGGATTGGTGTCATTGCAGTGGCTTTGCCGCTCGACTGATGCCGAGAAGATGACCTAACTTGACTATTTAGAGGAAGTAAAAGTCGTAACAAGGTTTCCGTAGGTGAACCTGCGGAAGGATCATTACAAGATTCTCGAACATGTACCCAATTGAAGCACGGATATTGTTCTGGTGTGCTGAGACATGCCAGTGGGTTTGGTTGGCCTGACCAGTCGATCAGTACCAAAGCATAGATATTGGTTGGCAAAGACAGCAGGTTGGTAACACCGTCAATGACATTAGTCACCTGCCTAGTCGATCAGCACTAAAGCATGTGATTCCGCCGAAAGTGGCTTGGCACGGATGCTCACGTGCCTATAAGCTGTCATCCACTCCTCACATAGTTTGTTCCATAGCACCCTCAAAGCGACCCTCACCTTATCGTTTTCCATTCGGATTCCATCCTGGAGGTATATCTGGCGTGTAGTGTCAGTCAACGATCTCCTGAAACGTATGTCCGATGCATCTGCTTATATTTGTTGGGCAATTAGATTCTCGGTTGGTTCGATGCCTACCAGAGTTTTTTTCTTGCTTATCCTTTCCGGTGGCCTATCTGATCTTCTGTCTCATCAAGGCAAGCGAGAGAGAGAAAGAGCTGTTGATGTGTTGTCTGTACTTGTAACGATTGCTGTCTAGATAAGTGCAAGAAGTGACTTTCTATAGATTTCTCTTATTCAAATCACGGAATATACATATTCGATTATAGGGAATAATATAAAAAGACACAGTTGCAGCGAAGAAAATTTTTTCTTTTCGACGAAGTCACCATCAACTAGGCTGTACATTCGTGTATTTATAGTAATAAATGGGTGGGAAAGTTCCAGAATAATTTCCAGTCAAGGGGCAAATTAATAAAATTACAATTAGGAATTAAAATGCCATAATAAACAGGGGGACGGATAAAACTGAGAAGATTGACATATTGTCCAATTAGGGATTAGAAATGTAGAAATAACAAAATAGACAGAAAGTTTGGATAAAAAATCTAGTGGGATTATAACGAATGTTTATGCAATTAGGGATTAAATATGTAGAAATAATAAAATAACAAAATAGACAGGAAGTTCGGATATGAAAATATGGTAGTGTAAATAGGGATTAAGAAAAACTTAAAAATAACATGAATAAACAGGAAGTTTGGATAAGAAAGGCAATGGGATGGTCACTATTAAAAGAATTACCTGTTTATGATGGCCATGGCAGGGGGACAAGGGTTGGACGTATTTCTTTTGGATACATAGAGTGGGTTTGAGCTTTTGGATGGCTAGTGCCTTGGCTATGCCCAGATGTCTTAATTTTACTCCCTTTGATAGGTTTGATCGAATCTTGTATATTATTTTGAAGGATTTTTTGAATGGCGCTGAATGTTCTGAATTGACCAGATGTTCTGTCACTGAACTATATACACGTTTTCGTTCTATTTTTACTAACCAGACTGGCTAGTGTTCACGAGCGCGTTTTTCAAGTTGGCGCATGGTACGGCCAATGTACTCAGCTCCTCAAGAGCAAGTAAACTGGTATATGCATGTTGGAGTGGCCCAATGCGACAGCTTGTCTTTCGCGTTCTGTCTGAACAGTTTCTTGCAGAAAAACATCAGTCGTAGGCTTGTGGCGAAGTATGTTTTCCTCAGAGATTCGCAGAGGCGTTTCCGAAGGATTTCTGCTCCAATATCACCTTTGAATTCTAGATTAAGCAGAGGCATCTTCTTCAGGACGGATTAGACTTGTTCAGAAGTCTTCTTTGATTTTAGATTCTTGTCTATGAACCTAGGCGAAAAGCCGTTTTCCATCAAGGTTCCTCAGAGATTACGCAGTTCTTCGTCAATCACTTCCTGGCTGCATATCTTCCGAATCCTCGAGGAAAGAGCGTATATCAGGTTCCTCTTTCTGCTTAGGGGCACGAAGCTTTGAAAATTGATGAATTGTCCATTCCATGTAGGCTTTTTGTATATGGACCTTTTCAGAGAGTTGTCGGCGTTTCTTGTGAGATGGACGTCAAGGAAGTGGAACATTCCGTTGGATTCAGCTTGAAGAGTAAAATCGATGTTTTGATGGGCATTGTTGAAGGTTTAAAAGTAAGCTTTTAAGGTCCAGATCCTCATCAAAAATGTTGAAAGTATCATCAATGTATCTGTTCTTGTAAAGATTGAAGGTCAGTGATAGTCGACGACAAGAAGTTGTTTTCGAGCTGGCCATAAAATCAGTTGATGGTGATTAATTACCACTAAGTGATTCACAACTGTGAAAGCTCAGCACACTTGTTGAAGTGAAGACAGAAAGAAGACATAACTGGTGCTGATGCTGCTTACACTTTCCTGTTGATCTTCCTCATTGTCGTAGACTAGTTCAAAGACACTGGACACGATATGAACTTCGCAGAAGATGTATGTCTAGCGTCGAAGAAACTCGGATATCTACAGGTCAGAATCAACCAGTTGATAGAAGAGATGATGAAATGTCTACTCATATCACTGTGTCGTCGTAATTTAAGTCTATTCTTCTTATCAATGCACATAACCATGAACTCGCTGGGAGTCGAACCTAAGTTGAGGGGCCAACCTATTAACCATTCGTCCACCTGGTTGGATTTCAATAACCAGTAAATCTTAACTTTGATCATTTCCCGATATAGCGAAAATATTCATTCAGACATCTGGAAAAAAAAATGAGCAAAGAATATCCTTTTCAATAATTTCCTCTTCTGGCTCTACAATTATATATATATATATATGTTTATCTATATAGAATATTGTAGAATAGTAGTCAATAACAATATTGGTGTTTTTCTAAATAATATCGGTTTGTTAAGTTAGATCACCATGGAATTACAGTTCATTAACGATGCTCAAATTATAATAATAATAAAGATATAATAGCGAATAGAATATCAACTAAAATTAAGGAAATTTCTACAAAAAATGCGGTAAAAAGAGCATTCCGTGCTGCTGAATTACACTGTATCTACTAAAACACTTACCCCTATTTCTGTGTTTGGGAGTAAAAGACAAACTGCCTAATTTCGCCTCTTACATGTATATCTACCAATTTAACTGCTCCTGTGGAGCATACAAAGAACGCCAAAGAAGTCCTACAAACCTGGTAATCAAATCAATTTACAGTTAAAAAACACATGGGCATTGATCGAACTTATCAATCAATTATTAAACTAGGTCATATGACACGAAAAGGTCAAATATCATGTCAAATGATCAATAAACAATACAAGTGTAATATAATCAATTATAAAGATAATCGATAGAATATCAATGTATCAATCATAACACAGTGACAGCCATCTCAATACAGACCAATGGGAGAACTCCTAAAAATTCACTTAACACACACCATGAAGTTAGCTCTGAAGATGTTGTCTAGTTTGGACAATAAAAGCCATCCAGCTGAGAGAAAAAACCAAGAAGACAAGAATTAGTCGCCTTTATATGTATACTCTTTTGATTGATATTCACACTTTGTATTGATTGAAGTAGTAATTGATTGACCATCAGCAACGAACCGACAAAAAGGCAGAATTTCTATTCATATCATTAATTAATCGAAGTCGAAGGAAGATACTCGGATTATATTAATGGAAACTAATATTTTTTATTTTACTCCTTTACGTTCCCGGCGGAACATAGGGCAGCTTCAAGCTAGAAGCTTCAAGTTTCCGTAGCAGTGGTGTTTATTTTTACGAGATGGGGTCGCTAGTCAGCCTCATGCCCAACCTTCCCTCTTTACCAGTCTTATTACTGGCTTAGCGAGGTAAAGTAGGAGTAGTGTGTGTTGACTTTACTAAAAATATCTTTTTCCTGATTGTTTATCATTTTAATTTATTTTTTTGAACTCTTCATTTTTTTCTTTTTACGCACAGCTATACTTATACTCAATTATTGGTTTTTATTCTTTGGCAACTTGCATAGGTAAGTGAAAAAAACAAAACCCATCTTGAAATGTTTCAAGAGTTTGATTCGTTTTTAGGAGTTTGACAACCACCGATACTGAACAGTTGTTTCGTCCAAGTCTGTTCGGGAGTCTTCAGCGGTACTCGCTCACAAACCCATCAGGAATGAAACGTAGGACCTTCAAATTGTGAAACAGCTGTTCACTACTCCATGTTAGCTTTCAGTGGTTATCTAACTGGCATTAAACAGTGAGAGGTCGTGAACAATGGGTTCCACCAGGTCGTGTGTGAGAATAAATACTCGCCGATGACATCTGCTTGTAGTCGCGCTGAGTTAGAGTTCATGGGTCATTGAATTCGGGGCAGAAAGTGATTGAATGACCAACTTGTTTTGACCTCGTAACCCTGAAGGCCCTGGGTTCGATGCATGGTGGGTTCTCTCGTCCATACTGATGTGGCGTCCTAAACATGGACGAAACAACTGTTTAGTATTCCCTGCTGGTTTATGTTGTTTCTCTAACTGACACTAATCCATTTTTGGAAATGTATTTTGCTCCCGCTTGTCTTTCACATACACACACCCGCTCTCTCTGAGTATCTCTCTCTTTCATCGTGTTTATATCCCCAGTACTCCTCTTTATTTGTAAAATCATCGATCTGGCATAGAGTGACATTCTCATAAAATGGCATTTTGACATTATTATGGTTTCCTTTAATTCCTAGAGGAACATAGGGCTTGAGCCGTGCGTCTCCACTGCGCTCAGTTCTCTGCTAGAGTTTCCACCTGGCTCCAAGTCTGTCCACACGTTTTCATCTCCTCTTCACATGACCTCCTCCAAGTCACCCTTGCACTGACGACCAACTCGTTGCTTCCCTTTCGGGTTCCACTCGAGCAATGGCTTGTCTAGTGATGTCACTTGATGGTTTCCTCAGAGTATGGCCAGCCAATGCATATCCATTTCTTCCTGCCTATTTGTTTCACGATCGGTTCCTGGTTGGTTCGCTCATTACCAGAGATCCCTGTTGCTGATCTTTTCTGACCGGCCACCTGATCTTGAATAGTATTGAGCGAAGACAACTGTTAATGAAGGTCTATATTTTGTTTGAGGTGCTCTTTATGACGCGCTGGCCAAGTCTCCGTATAGAAGCATTGACTTCACATTGGAGTTGAAAATCCGGGTCTTATTTTTGATGCTGAATGCTGTTGACCTCCACACAGACTTGACAGTAGTGAAAGCTTGTCTTGCTTTCCCGATTCTTGCTTTGATATCCTCGTCAGTTCCGCCTGTAGTTGAAACGATGCTTCCCATGTAGGTAGGTAGGTAAAGGAGGTTGTTTCTTTCAGGTTCCTTCCATTTATGCTGATCGTTGTCTGTTGTTGTTGTTCTTGTCCAGGAATCTTCATTACCTCTGTTTTCTCTATGTTGACCTGAAGTCCTATCTTCTCTGGATGCTTCTTCTGCCAACTTGTTGCTTTTCGCTTGCATATCTTACAGTTTGTGGGAAATCAGACATATATCATCGGTGAAGTCCAGATCCTCCAAGTGTTTTTGTGTGAGTGCATTTTATGCCTGTTTCCTCATTGCCCGCTATCTGTCGCATTATCCAGTCTACTGTAATCAAAAAAATCATTGGAGATAGTGGGCGGCCAGCTTGTCTTACTCCCGTCTTCACTTCGAAGGATTCCGTGAGTTATCCGTTGTGGATTACTTGGCATGCAGCATTGTCGTACAGCTGTTGGATGAGATGTATAATTGTCTGTGGCACCCCATAGTAGCGAAGTAGTTGCCAAAGCACCTCTCGATCGACGCTGTCGAATGGGGATATAAATATTCTAGTGCTTATCTGTAGTATAGTTGGACGTAAATTGATGCATAAATTTGATTAACTGCTTTTTTGATATACTAACTCACATGGACATGATTATGAATGGCAATAAATTGTGCTCGAAACGTCATCAGTAAACATTACTGTATAACACTGTAAGACTTCATGAAAACAAAATTTACCCATAATGGAAGTAACTTCAAAACCTCATCGATTGATTTCCCCTCCTCCTACTTCCAACATCATTCCTACAGACCACATTATACCATGTAACTCGAAAGATCGAAAGCACCTATCTGCATATCTTCACCCTTCGATAGATTTTGAAAAATAGGCATACTCACCATTGGCGTCCAACAATCATCATTTTTCTAGACCTGAGAGAAGTATTCGATTCCGTTGATTGAGAGGTACTATGGCGATGTTTAGCTGTTATGGGAATGCCGAGGAAATACATCCACACTGATCAAGGCATTCTACTCGAACTCTCGCATAGTCAGCCAGGTGAGAGCTAACGGAGAGTTGTCATCTGACACTTGTGATGATGACCAATGATGTTCGTCAGGGATGTCTCTTTTCGCGTTAATTTCATCATGGATTAACTCATGGAATTGACGCTAAATGACTTCAGCGACTCAGGGATTGATTTCTTACCAGGGTATATATAATCTCGTTGACTTAGAATATGTAGATGATATAGTCTTGCTTCTAGGTGAAGACGCTGACAAAATGCAATCTTCTGGACAGTGTTTCAGAAGCTGCAGTCTTCGGATTTTTGGCATGCTATTCTCTCCTGCTGTCCAATGTAAGATAACTGGACTACATGAACTCTTAGATAAAGGTAGGGAGTGAAGTGGGGTAAAGAATGTTCACCATTTCACCTATTTGGGAAGTTGCATCAACCAACGTGCGGTAGAGCACGTTGACCGCTTCACTTATTTGGGAAGTACCATCAGCCAGTGCCAACGGGTTGATCTCCGACGAAATCTCAGCACGAATACAGAGGGCTAGTTTCACATATATCAGTTTACGCCGTCTCTGACGTAGACGCAATATCCGACTATCAACCAAAGGGCGTGTGTACTGCTCAACAGTCCGCTCCGTCCTCCTTTATGGCTGTGAGACCTGGCCATTGACAGCGGAAGACATGAAAAGATTAGCTGTCTTCGATCATAGGTGTCTGCGTTCTATCTCCCGTGTGAAGTGGAATAATAAGGTGAGCAATATTGAGGTTAGGCGTCGAGTGCTAGGTAAGGCGGGGAAATCAGTCGACGAGACTGTGAAATTACATCGAATGAGATGGTTAGGACATGTGTTACGTATGCCTAGTCATCGCCTTCCTCGACAACAGGCAATGTTAGCTGATATAGGGCCAGGCTGGAAAAGAGCTAGCGGCGGTCAAACGAAAACATGGCACCAGTCAATGAAATCTACAACAGTTAGTTTAAGCCACGTAGGAAGGTGTAGACTTCCTGGTTGGGGTCCTCGGGACGGTAAAAACCAATGGTTGGAAACAATTGGTGACATGGCTCGAAATCGTTCTCAATGGCTGGCGCAGATGCATCCATTCCTTGTGACTCATGATTTCCGATGAAACTGTTTTGTTCTTCGTTATTACTATCCCTTTGTCTCACATCTCTGTTTATTGTCTATATCATGCATTTCTCCTACCTTCTTCTCTTGCTTTGTGTGCTACATGGAAGGAGTGTGGCGACTTGAACTGCCGCACATCGATGCAAAGTTCTATGTCGAAAACCAACCGACCGACTTAGTAGATGTGATATCCAGCTGATCATCGATCAGAGGACATGTACTGGGCTGCTGTTGTCTCCGTCCGCCTCTATGGTTGTGAGAGAAAGTCTCCATTGAAAGTAGTACATAGAATCAGATGTGCAATTGGTAAATACATGGTTGTAAGGGGAAACTCCAGCACAAAGTGAGCAGTAAATTGTTGATTACGAATTGTATTCATCAGTGATACTGTTTGTCTGTCTATACTTCAGTGGTTGGATTGAATTTCGAATTCATCCCCCTCCCCATCGGTTGCATACTCCATTAGTAAATTGAAGTCCTGCTGAGGTTGATGGCTTCGACATTTACTCGAGGAGGACACATTGATTACCTCATTCACATTAGATATTATTTTTCTATTCATGAGCTGTGAATCAATCAACCAATTTTTTATATATTTGAAATTTTTTTCTCATATTCTGTCAATATTTACTATATATGCAAGTTAATTACTCTGTGTTTTTCCAGTTTACACACAGAATAATACCACCCACCCGGCCTGCTTAAGCTTTTATCAGTAGACAGGAATAATTCAGACATACCATATTTTTATTTATTTTTTTCGAAAATTATTGATCTGCCGATTCTCTCAGTTACCTTGATATATATATATAGTCTGTACGGTGTGATAAATATGCACAGTGAGAAACTTGGTACATTAGAGCAAAGAAAAGAATAAACATTTTTGCAGGATAATACTGCGAGTTCCAGTGTATGTTTTGTGGATTCTCTTCAACTGTCTACACCCTAGACAATATTAAAATGTAGAGAGAGTTATAACATTTATAAGCTTACTTTACTTACAGTGGTGTCGAGTTATCGATCGAAAAAAAATTAAGCAAGATAATTCCAAAAATGATGTAAGCAGACAAATTATTGAGTTTAGTGTTAAGAAGGAACTAACTATTTATATGGTATTATTGAAAATTAAAGTCAATTCAGCGAAGAAAATTTTTTTTATTTTTACGAGTTTAACCATGGATTAATATCAGTTAGAGGGAACTATTGAAAAACAGCACTGGAGTACTGGATAGCTGTTTCACATTCTAGTCTCCTGGGTCTCTTCGGTAGTACCACTCACTGGGGTTCGAACCCAGCACCTTCCGGTTACAAGACAAGCTCATATACCATCGATGACATATAACGTCTGCCCGCATGCTTTCATCTCATCTTCACATGACCGAAAATGTGTAGTAGTCGATTACTGAGTAATGGGGGAGGGGGTTACATAATTGGTGTAATTACTCAAAAGTGGCTTGAAAAGTAAAAATTAAAGTTGCAAATTGCATAATACTCAACGACACAAAGAAAGCAAGCGTTGGAAATTTGATAAGGTTAAAATTGTTATTGACTAGTGGGAGGAAAGTTAGTTGAGTGTCAATTTAACAAGTATGAAGATTG